CTCCATTTGGTGTTAATATTTAAATTGCAAAAAAAAACAGTTAAAATAGACAATTTAAACACACACACACAAACCTGCACACACACACCCTGACACACGCAAATTCTCTCTTGCACAAAACACACACCTAACTCCACCGAATAAAGATCACAGCTTTTTTTTTCACAAGTAAAGTTCGTTATTAAGAATGCATCAAATAATACTGTCATTTAATGTTGTTTTATTGCCGGTTATTCAGCACTGTTAACTGGCTTCATAACGGTGTTATTTTTTTTAGAAAAAAACGCGGATTTGTCTTATTCGTATTAAACAAATCTTAAACATTAGTCGTAGGGACATCGACGCGATGGTGGATCGTGAGTCAATTAAAATAGTTTCAATAGATTAAGAAATAATTTGAAAAGACACATACACACACACACATATTTACACATACACACACATACATTGCAAATGAAACTCAATAACAATATTTCGGTTTTGGTCAGAGAGATTGTGCGGGTTTTATGTATAAATAATATAATATTGTGTATAATAATAACACAGTACTAATATAATATAATATATATATATACTGTATGTTTATTAATATGTATAATCCCACAATAACAGATTGCCTGAGAAACACAAGGCGAGCGAAATAAAAGTGAAGGCGTTTAAAACACGCATTTACTTGAGAGTTTCTGGGAGTGAACAACTTTATCAATAAAAAAAATTGCGGGCAACGAAATTTAAAATATTTGCCCCTCACACAACACATCTATACCACAATTTGCTATTGATTCATTATTATTAGAGGATAATCAATAAATAACTATGCCTTCCGATTATTAGGATTATTTTGGGATACAACTAATAAATCTTCTAATTATTATTGGCTAATAATAATAGCAATCATAAATAAAGCTTCTAATTATTATCAGGGGAATCAACAATATTTTTAAAGAAGTAATGACATCTTTTAATTATTATTTTGGGGATAAAATAAAAATAAAATACATACACTGTGTACCTTCTAATTATTATTATTTTGGGGATACGAAAAACACTGAAGACATAGACTGCAACTTTTAATTATTATTATTATTATGTTTGGATCAAGAAATAATAAGGAAACGCTGTAAACATATCTTCTAATTATCAGCATAATTTGCGGATAAATAAATATACCTTTCTAATCATTATTACTACGGTATTTTGTGGGGGGGATAAAAAAAATAATATCAAATAAATCGAAATAAATACCTTCAGCCGCTTGAATCACACTGACTTCCAGGCCTTTGAAGGTTTTGCTGGCGAGTTCCTCCAGGGCGCAGAGCGGGGAGGTCTGAGCGGGCAGTCCGCCCCGAGGCAGCCCTGAGGCGGACACTTTGTCAGCGGCAGCCGCTGCCCTCCCCACACCCCCTCCTCCTCCCCCTCCGCAGCCCGAGAGCGGGGACTTCCTCAGCGATGGTTTGCTCAGAATATCGGCGATGCTGAAGGGGGTGAGCGGTTTGTTGGAGTTGGCGGGCGGTGGGAAGCCATCCAGAGGGCTCAGCCTCCTCTCCTCCCCCCCCGGCGCCACCCCGCAGCCCGGCTTCAGCACCTCCATCGGCCCGGGAATTGGGTTAATATCGTTCCTCTCCTTTTCCAGAAAGTTTTTTTTTTTTTGGGGGGGGGGGGGGGGTGTGGGGGTGGGGGGGTTCGGGTGGGGGGTGGGGGGTGTGGGGGGGGAAGTTTTTTTTCTGGACAAAAATAGGAGGGCAAAAGGGAGAGGGGGGAAAATGCAAAAGCCGTGGGTTTTAGTTCTGGTTTTCAATCGCTTTCAACCTCTTTTTTTTTCTCTCTCTGGGAGAGGGGAGAGAGAGGGAGAGGAGAGGGAGAGGGGAGAGAGAGGGAGAGGGAGAGAGAGGGAGAGGGAGAGGTGCCTCTGGGAGCTGTGTGGCTCCGTTCGCTTTTTAACGCATGGGATTGGGGAAATGCGCTCGTTCGCTCGTAGGCACCAGGCGATGCGGAGCGGGTGAAGGGGGAGAGCGACCGAAAAGGGGAGGTGAGATGGAGAGAGAGAGAGAGAGAGAGAGGGGGGAGAGAGGGAGAGAGGGGGTGGGAAGCGCTATTGATCACAGGTTGGAAGATATCTCTCTCTTTCTCACACTCACACACTCACTCTCTCACTCACTTAGTCTCTCTCTCTCTCTCTCTTCCAACCCAATTAGCAGCTGTGTCCAGGGAGGGAGAGAGCGAGGGAGTGGGGGGTGGGGAGGGGGGGGGGGTGGGTGGGTGGTGGGGAGAGAGAGAAAAAAAAAAGACCCCCCACTTTCTTAAATCCCACACAAAAGCGAAAGGAGGCTAAAACCCGACCAGGGGAATGGTCAGTGATCTTCCTTCCATTGCTGAGAGAGGCTATGAGTTGTGACCAGTTCAGATGTCTTAGAGAGAGTTGCGGTTTAGAGGAATTATTTGGGTGAGGGGAGGGGAGGGGGGATTGAGGAATGGGAGGAGTTTGGAGACAATTTGACCAAATTGTCCCCCCCCCCACCCCCACTCCCCACTCCCTGTCTCTCTCTCCCCCAACGCATTTGCTATCTTCTGTTTTCATCCCAAATAAAGTGTGTGTTTGGGGGAGGGCTGCAATGAGAAACTATTGCTTTTTTTCGATATATGTGTGTGGGGGGGGGGGGGGGCTGTGTGTGTGTGTGTGGGGGGGGGGGGGGGGGGTAGCGAGAGAAGGAGAGAGCGAGAGAGAGGAAGAAAGAGAAAGATTTATTTATTTTCCACTCAGCAAAGGGAAGGACCATATAGTACGAGTAATATAATAATATATTGTGTATTATGTTGTTATATTGTACATTACTATAAAATAGCAACCCCCCAACACACACACACACCCACACACACACATATACCCACAAAAACTAATTGACATTTAATTTTAATTGATTTTCTTAATAAGGAGAGATTTTAAGAGTCTGATTGTGAGATTATGTATTATTGCCAACCCCACTATATATCATGCAAACAGGACTCAATCAAAAAGAACTCACAAAGCATTACAATCCATCTATTTATGTGTAGAAACAGTTGTAAATAAAGTAAATAGATTTTTTTGTAAATGACTCGTAAAGAATAGAAAAGTGACCACCCATTCACTTATCTTCCCTCCTCACAACTCAATTCAATAGTCTTTTTTTTATAGGTATATTTTTTAAAAAAGTTGTATTATTACCGTGCATTTTCACCTTTTTATGTAAAAAATAATGATAGATACCAAGCGGCGTTGTACTAGCGAAATTTTAAGAATTTGTAACCCTGTGTGTGTGTGTGTTTTTTTGCTTAGAGACAATTATTGCAGTTATTGGGTCTCGTTTGGGGTTAGAGATAATTCTAAGTTTTAATAATTGTAATAATAATAGTCCTTGTATTTGATATAGCGCCTTCTCAATTCTTCGAGGCGTCTCAAAGCGCTTCAGACGATACACTGTAAATTGCATTTTGCGAGCGAAACGTTAGAATTGTTATTATAATTCGTGCAAAAAAATCCCTTTTCTCTCTCTCTCTCTTTCTCTCTAAATCGTGTTTTAACAAGACAATTTAAAACACGATTTTTCCCATCAAAACGACCCCAAGCAGTTTCTTTTTCTCCATCTCTCTTTTCCTCCGTCAACGAATAATGTTAATCGTCTCAATCTTTTTCTTTACACTGAGCCGCAGACGTTATCAGAGTTTGAATCTAAACAACAATAATTTTTTTNCCTATTAAAAGCATAAAAGCAAAGTAAAAAAAAAAACTCGGGGTGTTTTTCTCGCCTGTGTCAATCGACACACATCAAATCCGTTGAGAGCTATATCCACTTATATTTACTGCTATATTATTTACACATCTATTTGTTTTCGAGTGATATCTAGAACACATGGGGAAATTATTGAGGGGTGTGTGTGTGAGTGGTGGTGGTGTGTGTGTGTATGTGTGCTGTAATTATCAATAATAACAATAATTAAAAGGGTGTGGACTACCACACCAGAGCGCTTTCTTTAACTGTGTCATTTTATTTGGGATCTAAAGATGTTTTCACTCAATGTCCCTGCACAACATCAACACCGAGCAGAAAACATTAACTAACGCCAGCTTCAAGTAGCTGTCAATTTATAACATCTCCATATCTCCCCCACCCACCTTTTACACACACAAACACACACCCAAATGCGACTCCAATTCGCCGAAACGCATAAACAGACAATTCGCTGCGTTAATCGGCGTCTTACAGGTGGAACAAGTGAGCCCCGAGACAGAGAGACAGAGGGAGAGATAATAACTCTCACAGGGTTAATGTCTAATTTAATGTCACCCACTCACACACACAAATTATCTTGAGATGTGCTGTTTAGTCCACTATTAACGAGTGTTCCTTCCTCCGTTTCAAGCTCATTCGTTCTCCCTTATTGGGTCTCTCTCTCTTTCTCTCTCTCTCTCTATATATATATATATAGATATATATGAAGTTAGCCACAAAATATACAGTCAATTCACTTTACAGAATATTCTGTAAAACGCTTTGAAACGTCTCAATGACGTGATGATATCAAATATAAGATTATTAGTATTATATATAGTATGTGTTTGGTGTGTGTGATGTTATGTAGTGGGTTGAATTGCTTCGATTCATACGGTTTAGAGGTTTCTCAGCTCATACCGGCAGTTGCACGACAAACCAATATAGAATGAATAAAACAGAGCGGAAAAATTAGTGCTACAAATAGATATATTAACCTCTTTTCTCTTTCCCCCACTTTCTCAGCAAACAGAGATACACATACACAGCTGAGCGCTGTAACAAATACAGTTTGGTTGCAATTTCATAACTCAATTGAAAGAGAGAGAGAGAGAGAGATTGTATGTATAGCTCGCTAGGTTGTAAATTTAATTCCCTCGCTTGTACCGATTTGTAAATATGTTTAATTTAATTTCTGGTTCCCCCACCCCTCCACTCCTCCATCCCTCTCTCACGGTTTCTGTCTCTCACTCTCTCTTACCATCTCTCTCTCCTACCCCCCCCCCCCCCCAATCTTAAAAAAAAGGGATTTAGACACCATTTCAGGGGTCATTGAGTCAATTTCCATCACACAGACACGAAAAAGGAAAAACATTAAAAAAATGAAAAATAATGAGAGATTCGGGATTTTCTGGGGAAGGCTTGGGTGGGGTTGCAATTAACTATTAACTGTCTTGCTCTATAAATAGAGGTTACAGATCGTTCAATGAAGGTGTGCTGCACTTGTAGAGAGGAGAGAGAGGGGTATTTTTGTGCAATATTTACCATCTGTTAGTTGTTAGTTTTCCCATCGTCAGGTGAACACCCGGGACTGGATGTTACAGACCTGTTTAACGCCTTGGGGAGGCGAGTGACAGTGTGGGTGGGTGGGTGGGTGGGTGGGCGAGAGAGGGAGAGAGAGAGAAAGAGAGAAAGAGAGAGCAATATCTAAAGGTCTGGAAATCAAAGAGATATCTTTGCATTTTCACACAGCTTGACCGTTCTGTTAGCAAAAAGCGGGTAGGTTTTTATTTTTATATGCACATATATATTTTAAATAACTTCTGTGTACATTTTAATGGGGGGTTAGTCTCTCAAAGGCGAGATCCCTGTGTGTGTGTGTCTCTGTGTGTCATTCAGCGCAAAAAAAAACTGCATCTAAGAGCCGGGGAGTGTGATTAATGCGGGTTTTATTTGAGAAAAAAAAGTTTTGGGGGAAGATAAAGCGGGTAGACAGTCAGTCACAGATATAATGGACAATTTTCTGCGTTGAAAACCCCTTCTCGCGTTTATTTGCAAGCAATAAAACTGAAATAAGGAAAGACGCGCAGAGAAATATATGTAATAACTTGGCCCCAAACTGTTATTAAACCGCATTAGACCCGTCAGGAAAGGCGAGAGATGGTTTGTATACATTTCAAGCTTATTTTCATTTTTAAAAATCGATAAAGTGAGAGTTTGTTCGTTTTATTGTTTTCATCTTTTTCTCTCCCTTTCTCTCCCAAGAAATAAGACGAACAGAAAGCGAGAGAGAGAGAGAGAGAGAGAGAGAGAGAAAATATATATATATAATCGTTGGCTGTGCAGCGCTCAGGTAACAGGCAAAATATAAAATGATTCTTAACAGTTATATGCAACCGATCTCAGTGTTATTGTAAGAGTTTTGTGCTTATTTCTGAGGGGGAGGGGGGCAAGATATAAACCCAGGCTCTCACTGATAGCGGTGACCTCCCCTCTCCCCACAAGTGCTGAGCAAAAAGGATTTATTTATGCGCTGATTTCGCTCATAATTTTGATTGCATTATTTCTCAGTGAGGTCAAATATGCCTTAAACATTGCTACCGCTTCCTCACTGTCTAATTTCCTTCCCGGTTATAACACAGGGGAGGCGATTGTGGGCAAAAGAACACCGATTTTGTTCATTTTTAATATTTTCAAGGAGGTTCAGGGAGAAGAGAAGGTGAGATGTGACAATCATTACCCGTTTGTAGTGTGTCTCTGTGTTCATTTCTCGAGAGAGAGAGAAGGAGAGAGAAAAAGAGAGAGAAAGAAAGAGAGAGACAGAGAGAGAGATGAGAGAGAT